CTGCCGGTGTCTCCTCAGACCAGCTTGTCGGCCAAGTCCTTCCAGCAACTGCCGCCCTCCATAGAGATCCGTAAAATCGCTGGCATCAGATGCCGCTGCCGGTGTCTCCTCAGACCAGCTTGTCGGCCAAGTCCTTCCAGCAACTGCCGCCCTCCATAAGAGATCCGTAAAATCGCTGGCATCAGATGCCGCTGCCGGTGTCTCGTCAGACCAGCTTGTCGGCCAAGTCCTTCCAGCTACTGCCGCCCTCCATAAGAGATCCGTAAAATCGCTGGCATCAGATGCCGCTTCCGGTGTCTCTTCAGACCAGCTTGTCGGCCAAGTCCTCCCAGCAACTGCCGCCCTCCATAAGAGATCTGTAAAATCGCCGGCATCAGCTTTATAAGCAAGTCTCTTCCTGAGTACCCTCTGTTCGGGCAGTCGCCACTGCCTAATTCCATAAGTCATCTCAACATTCCGTGACATACGTTTTTTAATCAAATTTTTCATACATTCCACCTCCTCCTACCATCTGTCGAGGTAGTCAGATATTCATCTCCTGTCAATGTTTCACTCAATGAGTGATCTCTATAATATCCGGCATCTCTTTACCTTTCGATCACGGTGTAAAGGCACCCACTGACCACTCCGATATGTACCCAACGGGATGAATCTAATCTGGTGATAAACAATTTGGAATTTGAACAGCATTTTGCTTTGGTTTTTTATTTACAATAATTTTTTCCAGGCTCCTTTTACGACACCGAGAAATTAGACTCTACAAACACTGAGTTTTCATTAATTATATTTTAATTTTTTTTTTAATTTTCATACGTTTTACATTGTTATTGTCTTTTTCTTATGCTTTTTCGGATCTCGCCCGGAAACACAAGAATGTTTCGTTGTATGATTGAGTTCAATTTTGAATCAAGATTTCCTGTTGAGTTTACAAATATTTGAACAACTAAATAAATAAATAAATAAAACTTAAAATTGTCTTTTGATGTTTTTCTTTCATGCCCCTTGTGATATATATATATATATATATATATATATATATATATATATATATATAGTATTTGTGATGCGTTTCATCCAATAGAATTTCATCGCAATTTTTCCAGGTTGTCATACCACTTTTCTCAATATTGTTTGTGTGTGTATGCATATATATATATATATATATATATATATATATATATATATATATATATATATTCAATTATGCCAAAATATATCTATCGTTATATCATACATACATGTTTCATTAAATAATATAGACATATTATGTCTATTTTATATAATGATCCTTTCCAGTTCTCTAAGCACTTTCTTATTGATAAGATGGAATTATTCAAGGAGGGCACCGTAGTTTTGTTCTACCCAAGTACTTTCGATCATCTTCAGGAGAAAATGATAAAGACAATCTTGTTGTGATGGTGATTTAAAAAAAAACGCGCGTGAACCCGTTCTGTTATCATTATTTTAAAAATTAAAATTTATCCATTGTAGCTATGGGGTTTTTAACAAAACAAGCGTTCCAATATAAGGGAGCTAACCAGCCATTGGGATGCAAATGGGATGATGTTGGAGAAGATCGAAAGTACTTGGGTAGGAAAAGAACTGCGACGCCTTCCTTGATGAATTTCACCTTAACATGAAGAATTTCATGAGAAAACTTAAAAAGACCAGTCTGAAAAATAATTATGTTTATATTATTTCATGAAAAATGATTGAATAAAGATTTACTGCATATATATACATATATATATATATAAATATATATATATATATATATATACATATATATACATATATATATATATATATATATATATATATGTTGCAAATAAGTTTGAATTTTACAGAACTTGTAAATTGTATGGAACATAAATCCTTATTTTTTTCCTTAAAATAAACTTTTCGACCAAAATCTAATCAGAACAATCGTTGGCAACTTACGTAGAAAATTAACGAAATTTGACAAGTGACAAAGAGCCTAGGCGACAAACAGCCTTGGTGACAATCAGCCTTAGTGACAAACAGCCAGGGTTACAAAAAGCCTTGGTAACAAAAAGCCTTGGTTACAAACAGCCTTGGTTACAAGCAGCCTTGGAGACAAAAAGTCTAGGCGACAAACAGCCTTGGTTACAAACAGCCTTGGAGACAAACAGCCTTGGTTACAATCAGCCTTGGTTACAAGCAGCCTTGGTGACAATCAGCCTTGGTTACAAAAAGCCTTGGTTACAAACAGCCTTGGTTACAAAAGGCCTTGGTTACAAACACTTGGTGACAATCAGCCTTGTTGACAAAAAGACTTGGTGACAAACAGCCTTGATTACAAACAGCCTTGCTGTCAATCAGCCTTGCTGACAATCGGCTTTGGTGACAAACCGCCTTGGTGACAAACAGCCTTGGTTATAAACAGCCTAGGTTACAAGCAGCCTTGGTGACAATCAGCCTTGGTGATAAACAGCCTTGGTGACAAAAAGCCTGGGTGACAATCAGCCTTGGTTACAAACAGCTTATGTGACAATCAGCCTTGGTTACAAACAGCCTTAGTGACAATCAGCCTTGGTGACAATCAGCTTTGGTGACAAACAGCCTTGGTGAAAAACAGCCTTGGTGACAATCAGACTAGGTGATAAAGAGCCGAGGTGACAAACAGCCTTGGTGACAAACAACCTTGGTGACAATAAGCATTGTTGACAAACAGCCTTGGTGAAAACAGCCTTGGTTACAAACAGCCTTGGTGACAATCAGCCATGGTGACAAACAGCATGGGTGACAATCAGCCCTGTTGACAAACAGCCTTGGTTACAAAGAGCCTTGATTAGAAACGGCCTTGGTGACAATCAGCCTTGGTTACAAACAGCCTAGGGGATGAAGAGCCTAAGTGACAAACAGCCTTGGTGACAAAAAGCCTTGGTGACAATCAGCCTTGTTGACAAACAGCCTTGGTGACAACCAGCCTTGGTTACAAACAGCCTTGATTACACACAGCCTTAGTGACAACCAGTCTTGGTTACAAACAGCCTTAGTGACAATCAGCCTTGATTACAAACAGCCTAGGTGATAAAGTGCCTAGGTGACATACAGACTTGGTGACAAAAAGCCTTGGTGAAAATCAGCCTTGTTGACAAACAGCATTGGTTACAAACCGCCTTGGTTACAAACAGCATTGGTTACAAACAGACTTGGTTACAAACAGCCATGGTGACAAACAGCATGGGTGACAAAAAGCCTTGGTGACAATGAGCCTTGGTGACAACCAGCCTTTTTTACAAAGAGCCTTCGTTACAAACAGACTTAGTGACAATCAGCCTTGGTTACAAACAGACTTAGAGACAATCAGCCTTGGCGACAATCAGCTTTGGTTACAAACAGCCTTGGTGAGAAACAGCCTTGGTTGCAAACAGCCTTGGTCACAAATAGCCTTGTTTACAAACAGTCTAGGCGATAAAGTACCTTGGTGACAAACAGCCTTGGTTACAAACAGCCTTGGTAACAATCAGCCTTGGTGACAATCAGCCTTTTTGACAAACAGCCTTGGTGGAAACAGCCTTGGTTACTGTTATGGTAGATTCCACCTAATTTGCATAGTGGAGTACCGACCATATAAATATGGTTGGTACCGGGAAGAGAGGGAGGAATCAAGAGATTCAACCAGAGATTCAACCAGAGATTCTGCCCGACTGCGACTCAGTCAACACTTTCTCCAGGAACGGTCTTACCAGGAATATACAAAAGACTATATATAAATATTGTGTACACTTTCTTCTTTCAATACATTTTGTTCTAAGTACATATTGTGTTGAATTATTATTCCATGCATTAGTCGAGTTTCAACAGTTACAAACAGCCTTGTTGACAAACAGCCTTGGTTGCAAACAGCCTTGTTTACAAACAGCCATGGTGAAAATCAGCCTTGGTGACAAACAGCCTTGGTTACAAACAGCCTTGGTTACAAAAAGCCTTGGTTACAAACAGCCTATGTGATAAAGAGCCTAGGTGACAAACAGCCTTGGTGAAAAAAAGCCTTGGTGACGATCAGACTTGTTGACAAACAGCCTTGGTGACAACCAGCCTTGGTTACAAACAGCCTTGATTACACACAGCCTATGTGACAATCAGCCTTGGTGACAATCAGCTTTGGTGACAAACAAACTTGGTGACAAACAGCCTTGGTGACAAACAGCCTTGGTGATAAACAGCCTAGGTGACAAACAGCCTTGGTGACAAAAGCCTGAGTGACAATCAGCCTTGTTGACAAAGAGCCTTGGTGACAATCAGCCTTGGTTACAAACAGCCTATGTGACAAACAGCCTGTGTGACAAACAGCCTTGTAGACAATCAGCCTAGGTGACAATCAGCCTAGGTCACTATCAGCCTAGGTGACAAAGAACCTTAGTGACAAACAACCTTGGTAGAAACGAGAAACGACGACTAAAAACAATTTCTCGTTAAAATAGGAGAGGAGAAAGAAAATCAAGAGGAAAATAAAAATGGCAAAAAAAAACAAAAAAAAAAACAGAATAAATATTTCCTGTGATTATAAAAACGAAAAATCACAATTTCTCTTTCTGTCGATACAGAGAACGTCGGTCTAATTTCATATAATCTACCTCAAAAATACGTAAATGTTTTGCCGGCTGTACTTTAACCAAAATGGTAAATGTCGAATCTGTATATTTGTCAGCGCAATTTGGATTGTCTGAAACGTGCTGGCCTATCGTAGGATTCTTTACCGTCTGCGTAAGACGTGTTAATACACGTCTTACAATAAACTGTGTAACATTAGCAGGTACACATTGTGCATTCAGTGTTTCAAGACGCTGATTGGTTCTCTCTATATAGTCAGCGCCACGCTGATATTTAAATCTATATTTGACCAAAGTATTTTTTAGGTAGGGCAGACCATCTTTTGTAGATGAAGAGAACGTGGAGTCAGTGTCAAAAACAACACGAGTCCTGACGGCAGGGAAACACAACTTTTACACCTATCGGAGAGTAATCTTGGCATATGGCCATGCCACGTCGAAACACCGGTTTCTATATGATCACCGTTAAGTTAAGCAACGTTAAGCCTGATCAATACCTAGATGAGTGACGGCTTGGGAATACCAGGTGTTGTATCCTCAGGCGTGCGGATAGTGTAATGGATAATGGCTCGGAATTGTAAATCGGAGAGCCGAGTTCCAATTCCAATTGGGTTCGTTATATGTACTTACGCGAAGATAGCCTTGGGAAAGGTATCAAACCACCTCTCCTCCTCCAAGCTATGGGTTAATTAGTAAGAATTATATCACTAAAACATTCTCAAAAAATTCTTACAATCTAAAAATATTTTCCAGCTTTCAATAACCTGCAAAGGGTTGATAAACTGTAAAAAACGAATGAAATACTGATTAGCTACACAGGCATGTCTTTAGATTTATTTACATTCTCTGGAATAGAAATGTATAGAAACTACCGTGGCCACAAAATGAGGGATCAGTTTATATATTGATTGTAATACAGAATTGACCCCCACTTTATATCCACATTATAATTTCTTGTATGTTTTTCAAGTTCAGATTATGTATGAATCACCCCATTTTCCCCCAGCTAAAGGTTAATTAGTAAGACTTGTATTACTAAAACCGTTATTGTCTAAAAAAAATGATATAAACAAATTTACTGGCTTTAAATAACCTGCAAAAAGTAAATAAGCTGAAAAAACATATCAAAACAATCACTCAGTAAATGGAAGTAAATGATCTCTGAACAATTTATTTATGAAGTTTATAGTTTTAAGCAGTGATAATTTCACGGTTTTCCTATGAATGGATCTTAATTCTTCAGTTAATGATTGAATAAGCTCATGGCGAGTTCTACGACAATAAAATATCCATAGAAATTCCCCTATCGCATTGTGAAATATTTGAGCTTAACAACATTAACAAAACTAGAAAGACCCGTGATAATTTCACGGTTTTCCTATTTGAATTTTCTCATGAATCTTAATTCTTCAGTTAATGATTGAATAAGCTCATGGCGAGTTCTACGACAATAAAATATCCGTAGAAATTCCTCATCGCATCGTTAAATATTTGAGCTAACAACCTTTAACAAAACTAGAAAGACCCGTGATAATTTCATTGGTTTTCCTATTTGAATTTTCTGCAGAATCTTAATTCTTCAGTTAATGATTGAATAAGTCATGGAGTTCTACGACAATAAAATATCCATAGAAATTCCTTTATCGTATCGTTAAATATTTGAGCTAACAACCTTAACAAAACTAGAAAGACCCATGATAATTTCACGGATTTCTATTTGAATTTTTCTCATGAATCTTAATTCTTCAGGGTAATGATTGAATAGCTCATGACGAGTTCTACGACAATAAAATATCCATAGAAATTCCTCTATCGCATCGTTAAATATTTGAGCTTAACAACCTAACAAAAACTAGAAAGACCCGTGATAATTTCACGCTTTTCCTTTTTGAATTTTCTCATGAATCTTAATTTTCAGTTAATGATTGAATAAGCACATGACGAGTTCTACGACAATAAAATATCCATAGAAATTCCCCTATCGCTTTGTGAAATTCAAAATTCATCTATTGTTGTAAATTTGTTTGGTCTGAAGAGACAGGATCTGATTGTTCCTGCGAAGTAAATTATTACCATGGATTTCTAAAATTTCCGCTTTCATCATTATATATATATATATATATATGTGTGTGTGTGTGTGTGTGTGTGTGTGTGCGTGCGTGTGTGTGTGTGTGTGTGTGTGTGTGTGTGTGTGTGTGTGTGTGTGTGTGTGTGTGTGTGTGTGTGTGTGTGAATATAATCAAATGGATGAATATAAATAAATGTACGTATATGTTTATATAAAAATACATACAAATATCCCTTGGTGTAAGAAAAACAGTCCTCAATGCTGAATAACAGAGCTAAGTTTTCCTTTTGTCTGTTTATATATATATATATATATATATATATATATATATATATATATGAAAAAGAACGAAAGGAATATAAATCCAAACGTCCATAACATTAATTTATAAAAGGGCTCAATACAGGAGTAGAGTAATGGATATTTATTATACAAGTTATACAAGTTACCACGACAAAAAAGCATATTTGTTTCGATGTCTAATTAAGACATCTCATCAGGTGGTTAACATTGGTGGCAATATAAGATTTTATTTAAAACTACAACTTAGGGAACATCACTTCTTTTTTCATTTTTGAAACTTTTCCATAGAAGGCAAAGAAACAAATATATAAAAAATTTCCATAAAAGAAAAAAAAGGAAAAATCAGTTTAAAGTAAAAAAAAGGAAGAGAATAAGAAATCAATAAAAAGAAATAGAAAGAGGAACGAAAAGAAAGGCAATCCTACTATAGAGAGAAGGGAAAGAAAAGAAAGGCAATCCTACTATAGAGAGAAGGGAAAGAAAAGAAAGGCAATCCTACTATAGAGAGAAGGGAAAGAAAAGTAAAGGCTACTATAGAGAGAAGGGAAAGAAAAGTAAAGGCTACTATAGAGAGAAGGAAAAGAAAAGTAAAGGCTAGAGAGTATAGAGAGAAGGAAAGAAAAGAAGAAGGGAAAGGGCTATTATAGAGAGAAGGAAAGAAAAGTAAAGGCTACTATAGAGAGAAGAAAAGGAAAAAAGTAAACGCTACAGAGAAAAAAGAAAAGTAAAGGCTAAAGGCTACTACAGAGAGAAGGAAAAGAAAATAGAGAAGGAAAAGAAAGGGCTAAAAGAGAAGGAAAAGAAAAGTAAAGCTACTACAGAGAGAAAGAAAAGAAAGGCTAAAAGTAAAGGCTACTAGAGAGAAAAGGAAAGAGAAGAAAAGTAAAGGTTACTATAGAGAGAAGAAAAGAAAAGGAAAGAAAAGGCTACTAGAGAGAGAAGGAAAAGAAAAGAAGGCTAAGAGAAGGAAAAGGCTACTATAGAGAGAAGGAAAAGAAAAGGAAGGCTACTATAGAGAGAAGGAAAAGAAAAGAAGGAAAAGAAAAGTAAAGGCTACTATAGACTATAGAGAGAAGGAAAATATAGAGAGAAGGAAAAGAAAAGGCTACTATAGTGAGAAGGAAAAAGAAAAGTAAAGGCTACTAGAGAGAAGGAAAAGAAAAGAAAAGAAGGAAAAGAAAAAAGTAAACGCTACTATAGAGAGAAGGAAAGAAAAGTAAAGGCTACTATAGAGAGAAGGAAAAGAAAAGAAAGAAGGAAAAGAAATAGAGAGAAGGAAAAGAAAATAAGGCTACTATAGAGAGAAGGAAAAGAAAAGTAAAGGCTACTATAGAGAGAGAAGGAAAAGAAAAAGAAAAGGGCTACTATAGGAGAGAAGGAAAGAGAAGGGAAAAGAAAAGTAAAGGCTACTATAGAGAGAGGGAAAGAAAAGTAAAGGCTACTACAGAGAAGGAAAAGGAAAAGTAAAGGCAGAGAGAAGGAAAAGAAAAGAATAGAGAGAAGGAAAAAAAATGTAAAGGCTACTAGTAGAGAGAAGGAAAAGAAAAGTAAGGCCACTATAGAGAGAAGAAAAAAAGGCTACTATAGAGAAAAAGTAAAGGCACACAGAGAGAAGGGAAAATAGACAGAAGAAGGAAAAGAAAAGCAAGGCTACTATAGAGAGAAGGGAAAAGAAAGAAAAGAAAAGTAAAGGCTAAAGGCTAAAGGCTACATAGAGAGAAGGAAAAAGAAAAGAGAAGGAAAAGAAAAGCAAAGGCTACTATAGAGAGAAGGGAAAGAAGAAGGAAAAGAAAAGTAAAGGCTACTATAGAGAAAGGAAAGAAAAGTAAAGGCTAAAGGCTATAGAGAGAAGGAAAAGAAAGAAAAGCTAAAGGCTACTATAGAGAGAAGGGAAAGAAAAAAAAGTAAAGGCTACTATAGAGAGAAGGAAAGAAAAGAAAGGCTAAGAGAAGGAAAAGAAAAGTAAAGGGCTACTATAGAGAGAAGGGAAAAGAAAAGTAAAAGGCTAATAAAGAAGGTTACAGAGAAGGAGAAGGAAAAAGAAGGAAAGAAAAGTAAAGGCTACTATAGAGAGAAGGAAAAGAAAAAAGGCTACTAAGAGAAAAAAAGAAAAGTAAAGGAACTATAGAAAAGAAAAGAAGAGAGAAAGGAAAAGAAAAGTAAAGCTACAGAGAGAAGGAAAGAAAGTAAGCACATTTATAGAGAGAAGGAAACAGAGAGAGAAGGAAAAGAAAAGTAAAGGCTACTATAGAGAGAAGGAAAAGAAAAGTAAAGGCTACTATAGAGAGAAAGGAAAGAAAAGAACTACAGAGAGAAAGGAAAAGAAAGAGAGAAGTAAAGGTAACTATAGAGAGAAGGAAAAAAAAGGCTAATAAGAGAAGGAAAAGAAAAGTAAAGGCTACTACAGAGAGAAGGAAAGAAAAGAAAAAAAGCAAAGGCTACTAAGAGAGAAGGAAAAGAAAAGTGTAGGCTAATAGAGAGAAGGGAAAAGAAAAGTAAAGGTTACTATAGAGAAGGAAAAGAAAAGGGCACTATAGAGAAGGAAAAGAAAAGGCTAATAGAGAGAAAAGAAAAGTAAAGGCTATAATACAGAGAAGGAAAAGGGGCTAAATAGAGAGAAGAAAAGTAAAGGCTACTATAGAGAGAAGGAAAAGAAAAGTAAAAGTAGAGAGAGGCTGAGAGAAGGAAAAGAAAAGTAACGGCTACTACTATAGAGAGAAGGAAAAAACTATAGAAAAGGCTAAGGCTACTAGAGAGAAGGAAAAGAAAATAGAGAAGGAGAAGGAAAAAGAAAAGAAAGGCTAGAGAGAGAAGGAAAAGAGAGAGAAAAAAGAAAAGTAAATATATAGAGAGAAGGAAAAGAAAAGTAAAGGCTACTACAGAGAGAAGGAAAAGAAAAGTAAATACAGAGAAGGAAAGAAAAGGGCTACTATAGAGAGAAAAAAAAGAAAAGGCTAAAAGAGAAGGGAAAAAAAAAAGGCAACTATAGAGAGAAGGGAAAGAAAAGTAAAGGCTACTACAGAGAGAAGGGAAAGAAAAAATAGAGAGAAAGAAAAGAAAAGAAGGCTACTAGAGAGAAGGAAAAGAAAAGTAAAAATAAAAGCTACTATAGAGAGAAAAAATAAAAGAAAGGAACAAGAGAAGGAAAAGAAAAGAAGGCTACT